ACAGGTGAACATGAGCTTATGCATCTTAGGCATTATTGTGATGGCGAGCACCAATTCCCTGATGTGGACCTTCTTCAGTCGGGGCCTCAGTTTCTCCATGTCTTCAGCCATTGCATCTGTCACAGTGACTTTTTCAAACATCCTCAGCTCAGTGAGTAGCCTGAGGGTCTGGTGCCCTTGTACTAAACCTGGGTTCTGGGTGAGTTGTGCATGAGGGACCCCTGCTTTCCCAGGGGAAAGGACAGGATGTGAAGCAGAGGTTGGGCTCTGGCTGACCCCCACTTTGCTATTCCTCTAATCATGGAGCCATTAAATATGAAGGGTTGGGGCTGGGGCTATAACTCAATGGTAGAGTGCCTGCCTCGCAAGTGTGAAGCACTGGGTTCGATCCTCAGCACCACATAAAAATAAATAAATATTTTGGGTTCATCTGCAACTAAAAAAATATTTTTAAAAAACATGATGGACGGGTTGGCAAGCCCTCAGTGGCTGAGGGCTTGCCTCACATGCGTGAGGCTCTGGGCTCTGGGCTCGATCCTCAACACCACATACAAAAATAAAAAAGTAAAAAACAAAGATATTGTGTCAATCTACAGCTAAAAAAAAAAAAAATATGATGGACTTCTCAAGTTAGATAAGAATATAGCCTGGCTTGGTGCTCCTTCCAGGCTGGGGACTTCTTTCTGAAGTCCCTCTGTAGCCTAGCTGACTCCTAGGGGTCTATGAATTTGAGAATGAGCCCTGGAGGGTCCAGGTTCCTTCTGGTGGTCTGAAGTTAACAGGGCGGAGCTGAGCCCAGTCATTCCTAAAGTTCTGGGAGGAAGGCTGTGGTAGCTTAGCATGGGTCAGTGACTGCCAGGAACCATCTCTATGTTAGGTCCACCTGCTAGCCTGTGCTGGGTCTTTCTCACGTTCTCTGTTAGGGTCTAATGCTGTGAGTGAGGCGACACCCCACTTCTATTGGGGAGTCAGAGGTGAATGGAGTGAGCGGTGAAGGTGACGGCCAGGTGCGAAGCCCCAGGATGCTGGCTCTAGACCTTTGCCGCTGGCACCTTCAGGGAGAATGTCAGCCAAAGGAGAGTGTGTTATGCCTACCCATGGAGGGCAGGTCCCTCACCCCTATCTCTTCTGCGCAGGCTTTCCTGGGCTACGTGCTGTATGGAGAGTGCCAGGAAGTCCTGTGGTGGGGAGGAGTGTTCCTCATTCTCTGTGGGCTCACCCTGATCCACAGGAAGCTCCCGCCCACCTGGAAGGCTCTTCCACACAAGCAGCAGTGACACCAGCTGGCAGGACGAAGAGCTGATAAGGCCACCATGGTGCCCAGCCTTGGGTTGGTGTGCAGAATTGCTTCCAGGGGGACCTGGGTATGCAGCCTTCTTACGGTTGGCCGTGGGGTGATGCCAGACCAGGCAGGTCTTCGGGCCAGCCCTGCTCCCAAAGGAACAAGCCTCCGATCTCCAAGCCCTGAGTGCAGAAACTGTGGCTTCTGTGAGGAGGAGAGGCAGTGTGGCAGTGCTCTTTTGGAGGTGTCCTCAGTCATCTGCGTAAAGTTTTGATTCTCATGTTCCTGAGCCCGGGCGGATGCTGAGCTCCTGGGTTGCTCAGCTTCATGTATGGTGCCTGAAATCACACTGTAACTATAGTCCTGTTGTCCAAGGCCGTCACAAACCTCTAGTGTCAGTGACTGGTGGGGCTTTCTGACAACTCCGTGCTGACTTATAGGCCATCTATGTCATGCTTATGTATTATGGCAAGCAAAAGGAAACCTGAGTTAATAAATAACTTTTTTTGTAAGTTAAAACTATCAGAATGGAATCTTAATTCTTTCCTTCCTTCTGGAGTTAGAGGGAGCAGCCAGGGTGAGCTGAACTTCTAGAGTGGGGCAGGTGGAGAGCGGCAAGCATGGAGGTTCTGCCTGGTAGTGCCTGGCTGCTCTGCTGCCTGTGTTCCTTCTGGAGTCTGCCAGGCCAGCGCTCGACATTCGGCCATTCTCTCAAGGAGGAAAGTTGGACCTCATTTTGGAGCCCTCGTTCATTTTCCATATCAGGAAAGAAACCTGGGCCAAAGGTTGGCCCCACCCTTTGGTCTCCTCTGTCCTTTGTTTCCCTTCAGTTCTTTTGCTAACTTATATCTTGTGAATGTAATTCCTAGCTCAGAATAGTCTGGCACTGCCATTTTTCTCTCCGTGCACAGCATTAACCTGCACTCACCTGCTCCAGCTCTTTGCTGGGGTTCCCCCTGACCCTTTACCAGTCCTCTGAGCCTGATCCCCATCTGGGCTTCTTCATTCACTCCTTGTAGATGAGAGGGCCCTGATGTCCTGTCCAGGACAGAGGAAGCTGGTCTAGGCCCCTCCTCTGGCACAGTACCTCTGTGGCTCTCCTCTCCTTCTCCAACAGTCTCACGGCTCTGGATAACTGGGGTTGGCCCTCATCTACCACTCCAACAAGGGTTCTCTCTGTTGATAGCTCCTTAGTCCCCATTGCCCCACCTGATCCCCACATGCTGGAGTCACCCTCAACATCTGGTTACAACACAACAAATTTCAGTTCATTCTCATGGAAGAAAACTATAGTTAGAATAAAAAAAGCTATAGCTAGAAATAGAAGGACACTCCCTTAACATGATAAAAGCAATATATGTACAATATACCACTAACATTATAGTGGTGAAAGGCAGAAAGCTTTTCCCCTAAGCTCAGAAACAAGACAAGGACTTCTGCTTTCACTCCTTCTATTCCACATAGTTCTGGAAGTCCTAACTGGAGCAGTTAGTCAAAGAAAAGAAATAAGATGTCTAAATTGTAAAGAAAGAAGTAAAATTATCTCTCTTTACAGATGATATGATTTTAATATGTGGAAAATCCTAAAGATTCCTTAAAATGTTAGAATTAAGAAATTCAGCAAAGTTGCCTCATACAAAAGCAACATTCAAAAATCAGTTCCGGGGCTGGAGATGTGGCTCAAGCGGTAGCACGCTTGCCTGGCATGCGTGCGGCCCGGGTTCGATCCTCAGCACCACATACCAACAAAGATGTTGTGTCTGCCGAGAACTAGAAAATAAATATTAAAAATTCTCTCTCTCTCTCTCTCTCTCTCTCTCTCTCCTCTCACTCTCTCTTTAAAAAAAAAAAAAAAAATCAGTTCCGGTTCTATACACTAACAATGAGCAAGCTGAAAGGAACTTTTTTTCAACTCAACAGTGGCATCAAAAATAATAAGATACTTAAAAATGTATCTAACCAAGGAGGTGGAAGACTTGTGCACTAAAAGCTACAAAAGATTACAGAAAGAAATTAGGGAAGACATAAATAAATGTAAATACATTACATGTTCATGGATTGGAAGACTATTGTTAAGATGACATACCACCCAAAGTGACTTACAGATTCAATCCAATTCCCTGAAAGTATCAATGGTGTTTTTGCAGAAATTGACATCCTAAAATTCATATGGAATATCAAGAGCTGAGTAGCCAAAACAATGTTGAAAAAGATCAGAGTTGAAAGACTCAATTCTTGATTCCAAAATTACTGCAAAGCCATATAATCAAAACAGTGTAGTACTATCATTAAGACAGAGATATAGATCAATTGGGATATAACAGGGAGTCCAGAAAATATTTGACAAAGGTGTCAATACAATTCAATGGGGAAAATGATTTTTTTCCAACAAATAGTGCTGGGAAAACTATATCTATATGAAAAAGCTGAATGTTTACCTTACTTTGTATACAAAAAATAAATTAAAAATTGATCAAAGCCATGAAAGTTAAAACAATGGTATAAGGCCTTGAGTTGGATCCCCAGTACCACAGCAAAAAAAAAAAAAAAAAGCTAAAACAATAAACTTTTCAAAGAGGGGAAAGATTTTTGTGACCTTGGATTCGGCAACAATTTCTAGGATATGACACCAAAAACACAGGCAGTAAAATAAGATAAATTTTGATGGATTTGTCATCTGATCCAATTTTCCTACAGTCTGACAATTCTTTTTTTTTTTTTAAGAAAGAGAATTTTAATATTTATTTATTTTTTTTTTAGTTTTCGGCAGACACAACATCTTTCTTTGTATGTGGTCCTGAGGATCGAACCTGAGCAGCACACATGCCAGGCGAGTGCACTACCGCTTGAGCCATATCCCCAGCCCCCTGACAATTCTACTTCTTGCGACAATTCTATATCCCAAAGAATTGAAAACAAGTACTTAAACAAATATTAGTACAGCAGTGCTCATTGCAGCATTATTCAGAATAGCTAAAACGTGAAAACAACATCCATCAACAGGTGAAAGGATAAAGGCTGTGATAAATATATATATATATAATATATATATATATATATATTTTTTTTTAAATACTATCCATAAGAAGGAATGAAGATTTAACACATGCTTCAATGTGGACGGGCCTTGAAAACACTTCTCTAAGTGAAATAAGCCTGACACAAAAGGACCTATGTTATGATCCCATTTATTTGAGGTCCCTAGAATAGGCAGATGGGTTAAAAAGCAGAGCAGTTTTACTAGGTGCTGGGGGAAAGAAACAGGCTGTTATTGTTTAAAAGATATAGAGTTTGTTGGGGACAATGAAAATATTCTGGAAGTGGATAGTGGTAATGATTGCACAGTGCCCTGCATGTACTTACTATCACTGAACTGCACGCTCCAAAATGATTAAAATGGGCAATTTTATGTACATTAACTGTGGTTTGGAGGTGGCTTGTTCCTCAAAGGTTCATGTGTTGGAAACTTGGTCCCCAGTGTAACAATTTTGAAGAACAGAGGAATCTTTAAGCAGTGGGGCCCAGTGGACGGTAATTGGTCATGGGAGAACCACCCTCCAGAGTGATTAGTGGCTATCTCATGGGAGTGGTTAGGTCCTGTGGGCCTGGAACAGTTACCTTTCTTTCAAAGTTCTTCAGGTATTATACATTATTGACAAAAAGGCAAAATACCTCAAAAGAAAATTGAGCAAAGCATATTGTTTGGTAACTAACAGAATTCATACTGGCTGGTAATTCACAGAAGAGGAAACTTAAAGAGCCAGTGAACATATGAAAAGGTGAAACCTCACTAGTAATATACTACATCCCCAGTAATAGTAGTAGACTACCTCCCCAGCCTTTTTAACATTTTTATTTTGACAAAGGGTCTTCCTAAGTTGCCCAGGCTGGCCTCAAACTTGAGATCTCCTCCTGCCTCAGCCTGCTTCCCCGAATTTTTAAATACAACTGTTTGCTGATAAATTGGAATATTTACAGTTAACACTATTTTTTTTTTTAGAGAGAGAATTTTTTTTAATATTTATTTTTTAGTTTTCGGCAGACACAACATCTTTGTATGTGGTGCTGAGGAGGGCCGCACGCATGCCAGACGAGCGCGCTACCGCTTGAGCCATGTCTCCAGCCCTACGTATAACACTATTAAATACGAAAATATTATTGCTATGGTGGTTGAACAAGGAAATACCGAGCTTGTCCTTGCCAGCCCAGCTCTGCTCTAGGTTCTTTGGGCCTGGATAAGGAGAGGATGAGGAGTGGTGAATCAGGTGAGGGTTGGAGGAGGGACTCGCTGCACCAGTTCCAATGGGATTGGTTCCATAGGATTGTTGCTGCAAATCCTAGAGCCGTCCTAGTATTTCCCTAGGTTCAGCTCCCCCCACATCCACTCAACTGGTCATAAAGCTGAGGCAGGAATCCAGAGAGCCTTGGTTGAGTGCCTGTCCCCTCTGCCCTGCTTCATGTCCTCCTTTCTGGCCTTCAGCAGGGTCCCCCATCATCTGACCTGAAGGCATGTGGCAGTGAGCCCTGTTTATCCTCAGTGCAGGCTATTTAGGTGGCAGCCCCTCATCCTCTCTGGGGGGAATATCGGAAAGAAAAAGCACACAGCTTGGGTAACAGGGCTCCTGATGGCATCACTGCTAATATCAGTTTGTTGCCTGAGAGTCACATGGTTAAGCAAACACAGAACATCATTTAGCCATGAGCAGGAATATTTGAGATAGGTGGATACAGGCAACGACCACAAGGCAGGCTCCCAGCCGGATCCACAGGCGCTCTGATCACTATGTGTCGTGTTAAACACTCATGTACTAAAAATGAAGAGACAAGATGATGGTTACAGAGGAAAAATAAAAGTCAATGCAACAACAACAACAACAAAAAAAAACACTCATGTACTCTGGCAAGCACTAAGAATGGCTTCATGAGAAGAGATTACAGGGTTTATTGGAATTTTTTATTTTCTGCTTAAAGTGTTTACATACACAATAAGAAAAAATAGTCAGATGTAGGATAAACTTATAGTTTCAGATACAAAGGAGAAAAGATGTTCCTCCTACAGATCTATGGATGCTATTTTTCCAATTGCTCCCTGTCTCCAAAAAGGAGGTAAAAAGTATCAGAATGGCCTTCATGAGTTAGGTCTAGAGCTCAGCACTGTGGGCTGCCCACATAGCACCTGGGATGGCCCGCAGGGTGGTGGCTGCTCTTTCCTCCTCAGAACTGGGAAGTGGGTGCAGAGGCTGGTGGGCAAGCAAGCTTGAATTCCCAAAAGTAGGACTTACCAGGACTCCTTTCAAAAAGGGTTCCCAGCTTGCTCTGGGCAGGGAGGACAGAATCTCCCCTGACCTCAGGAAGAGGCACCTGCCCTGCAGATACATGTGCTGGGCATCCCTGGTCTCCCCACAGACGTCCATACTTTTGTGAGCCAATCTGACTTCTTTTAACTGGTGTGAATTGGACCCTCTGTGCCAGGCACTGATGAG